AATATTATTTTATTACCACCTTTCCAAAAAATATTGAGTAAAAAAACGTGCTTAGTAATTTCACTCTGTCCGCCTTTCCGTCTGTTCATGTGCCTGTTTATTCTAAACTTCTACACCCTTTAAGATGGAAAACTGAAATTTTAATATGTTGATAGATCTTTAGTTTTTATCCATCTCTCTTTATCTAAAAGTGATGGCCCTCAAACTGCTAAAAATACCATTTTATAACAATTTGCTATATCGAAACTTGAGGCATTTTTTAAATTTCGCAAAATTAGAAAGTTTGCAACATGTTTTTTTCTATAACGGCAACTCTATTACAATGTTCTATAATTGAACATTGAAATAGCACAATGGCTTTTAAAATCAACTATTATCTAAAACCCGACTTTTCTTAATTTCTGAAATTTTAGTACCTTTTACAATGTAATAACTAACTAAATTTCGTAGGAAGAAAATTTTTTCTACCAGCCGTCATTCCAAGTCATCGCCGCTCGAAATTTTTGAAATTTGAATCTTACTCTTCTCAAAACTGCAAGTTTTTCAAAATTTCTATTGAAAGCAAAGAGCTAACGGTAAGTGCCATGCCATCAAAAAATATAACTATTTTTTCTAAACTCACTTATTTAACCGTCGTTATTGGTTGAACCATTATGTTAAAGCTTCTTTCAATATTTTTTTGTTTGTTCATCCTAATTATATGCAATAATTTAATATTATATACTTTTATCTTTATAAATGCGAGTAATTGTAAAGACAGAATTTTCAATTGTTTAAGAAAAAGTGCTACTTTACAAATAATTCTGATCGAAATTTTTTTTATCTATTTTGAATAAATTTTGTTTTCATAAGGCTACATTTAATTATATTAAAAGTATAAAATTTAAGAAAGAATTTATTGCAATATAGAACAAAACGTAAGTAGGATAGGTGAATGTCTATATGCTTACCTCTATTATATAGGTATACATGCATCTATGTAAGTATACTCTCATTTATTGGAAATATGCCAATATACATGAATCACGTAAACTTTACTATGTGGACATGCAAATTAGCATGAAATATTTAAAATATTATTGTTTTATTAAAATTATTTACTATAGTATTTTATACGCGAAAGCATAATTTTCAATAGTTTTTTAAAATATTTGTATTGTAAGGGCCCAATTTATTATTAAGTAAAGTAATTTATTTCATCATTTTATTAAACTCAAAATTTTAACCACAGGAATGGAAGATTACCTTATATAATCAATATTTTTGATTAAGCCTTATGGTGCTACTGAATGCTAATTACATAAATGGCTGGATGACAAGGAATCGATTTTACAAAATTGAAATTATTTTCAATTGAACCTATTGAATTTTAGTCTATTGAACTTATGGCTTATGCTATCATTATTTAATTTTTCGCTAAATATAGAAAAGTATTAAGCTTATAGCTTTTAAAAGCACAATCTGAAATTCAATGAATAATTTTGAGAGTTCGAATTTTATTCGTGGTAAAAAATTAACTCTTGTACTATATTTGTTATTTACTTGCTCTACAGGAGTAGTTGGGACCACTGTAGGGGCTCTTTTTTCAAAATTCTTTCTAATAAGTTTTAAAAAATTAAGAACCCCGGAAATATTTTAAGCCATATTTGACCCTTTTTATAAATTATTTGACAACAACTATTTTTTTTTTGTCATTTGCTGCTACAGACTTGAAGATCTTTAGCAAGTATTAAAGAGATTTATTAAAAAGACATTGTACACAATGTATAGCTATTATTTTTTGATTTTGAATTAAAATTCTTGTAAACAAATAGGAACGATGATAGTGCAAAGCTTTCAACATTTTAAACTATTTAAAGCCGATATAAGAAATTGGAATTAGATTGTTATAATTCATAGAATCTAAACTTTAATTTTTAAAAATTAAAAGCCGCTCACCAAATATTTTTTTATGCAGTTTTCAAATGAAAAACCCTCCAAGCTATAACTTGAACTTTCAATTTTTGAATATCAAATATTTAGTCTTTTGCTTTAAACTATTTTAAATTCTTAAATGAAGGCTTTCAGATCTTAAAAGTCTAAAACAAAACAAGCTTGTTGCATTAATCACTGTCAGACTCGTCTGCTTTTAACTGCGTACTAAATAAAATTTTAATATTAATTTTCACCTTTCTTGTATATTAAAAATTTACCAATATTACAGTATGCTATGTAGCACCAGACTTAATTGTACATTACAAAAAAGAGTCGCTTATAAATTGCGTGAAAGAAAAATTTTTTATTTATGAAAATCACCTTCATAACTCATATAATACCTGAGAACATAATTACCATCCCATTCCCAAAGTAATTGAGATTTTTATTTTTTTGTTCAAAATAAATAATGTACCGCACCTACGAACTAATAACAGCAAATTTATGGCTCTATCATTCAATAAAATTCTTACAAGGGTTTTTAAAATTTTCTTATTCAGTTGTAAATTTGAATATATCAGAAATTTTTTGTTACCCTTAATATTAAAATTTCAAGAATAATGAAAATATTTTGTTTTTCAAGAAAGTGCAGAATTCATTCTTGATTTAAGGGCATAACGCATTGTTAGAGTTCGTGTACGTGTTAGAACTTTAATAATGCATTTTGCCATTTATTTTCTTTAAAAAAAAAAAAACTGAATAAACCATTTTATGTTTATGGCTTAATTTTGAAATTAAATTCCATACGAGCACCAAAAGGAGTCTATACGAGAAATGTACAATTGTGATTGAAGTTGTTTTTTCCTCAATTAATTTTAATTCATTCTTCAATTAGACTTCCCTATGCCGGTATTAATTACATTTATATCTAAAGACATTCAGATATTCCAATTTTTTTAAGAATTACTAAGTGTTATGTTTTATCTTCTACATTATTCAAATTAATTTAATTGATATACATACAAAATTATATATAAAACTATTGCATACTGTTAGGATGAGTTGAATTGAATGGTTCATTTGCCAGTTGAGTAAGTGAGTTAAGAAAAATAATATTATAATATTTTTAATAGCACGATATTTCCAGTTAGCGTTCTGCATTAATAAAAATTTGTGAAAGCACTGTCGGAAACATAAAGTGCCAAAAATCCAAATTTCAATTGCAATTTTCGAGAGGCATTAACTTGAGAGGAGGTCAAGTTAGAAAAAAATTACAATAAATATTAGAGGAATGGAATGTCTTTCTTAAGACTTTGAGAGCCCATAACTTTTAGAGGGGAGGAACTCGTTAAAAATTTTCTTTTAAAGAAATAAGTTTCTACTAAAGATCAATGTACATATAAAATTTCAGCTTTTTATCTTAAAAGATGCAGAAATTTTGTAAACGGAAACAGGGTCGTGATACTAATTAGCACTTTTTTACAAAAATTTTTTGGAAAAGCATTAAAAATTATTCAATTCAAATCCTATGTAGTACATGCGATTTAAAAATATTGTGCAATTTACAAAAAAATTTAATCAAATTGCCAAAGAAGCAAACAAGTTTTCATTTCGATTGTAGAATAAATGTAAATTTGGAGATTGTTTGACTTTTAGCAAAAAGTGGTAATTACGTTAAATGATAACCCTTTTTTTCTTTTTTATACATAACTACTTTTTTAAGCAATACAACAAAAATAACCGTAAAGGAATTCTAGTGCTTACTAATGTAATATAAATCTTAGTTAAAATGCTCTTACAACTAAGTAAATACATTATTGCCACTAATTATTGAGTAAATACATTATTGACACAATCAATGGCTTGATATCCCTATATTTTACTGGCCAAGTGAGAAGAAGATGAATGACTATTATATATTTTTGTATAATGTAATTTTGAAGTGAGAAGAATTTTTCCGTATTGCTTATCTCGTTTCTTCTAAAATGTACCTATACAAAATTTAATCATTATTTAATCACTAATTAATATTAATTAAAAAATTTATTAATACGTTTTATAAATTTACGTCCGTCTAAAATGATCTAGATGTCTCTGTTGCCATACTAAAAATTTTTTATAAAAATAAAAAAACAATTTTTATTGCTCAATATTAATTAAATAAAAATTTTCTAGATGGCTCTATACTTCCACCTAGTCAGTTATGTTAGAATTTGTACTAGGAGATGTACTTTCTAAAAAAATTCGATAATATTAATTTGATTGTACTCTTAAAGATGTCTCTGTTTTTTTCATAAGATTTTATGGATTATTTTTTTTAAACAACACAATTGATTTTAATTATATCCTTACAGTGTTGATTAAAAAATTAAAAATTCATAATAAATAACTAGCTTAATTAATAAGTTATTGGACACTTTCGCTTAAATTCTGTTCAGCAGATTTTACTTAAGAAACTCAAACTCTAGAATAATTTTCAAAATCTTTATAAAATATTTTTTTCTTTAATAAACATACAAGACAACTAGTTTACTCAAAGCGCCCTACTTGGAATTTCCTCCTAAATAGTTCTAATATAATATAGCAATACAACGATACAATACAAATACAATTTCATATAAATTAATCTTTATTGTGCAATGACGTCATTAAAGACTTAATCTTTTTTTTTTTAATTTTTTAATAAATTTATAATATATTAATTATTATTAATACATAGGTATAATATTGAATTGAAGGAATAAATCTAAATTTCTAAAATTTAATTGTATTTTACTTGGCTTTTTACTAAGTTGTTTTTCTTTCTTTTTATTTCTTTTAAACATTTTTTTAATTAAAAATTACAAATTAATTACATTCTTTCATTTTATTTTTATATTTTTATATTGTTTTATATTTTTCTTTTTAATGTTTATTTGGTTTATATTCATATCACTCTTATAATAATTATTTATATAAATTTTTAAACAATAATAGTTTAAATAAGCACTGGATTTTTAATAATAATAAATTAAACATAACAAAATTTATATTCATTTTTATTTCATAATTCATTTATTAAATAAACAAAACCAAAAAAAAAAAAATTATAACGATAATTTTGGTTATTTTAAAAGACAAAACTTAATATAGAATTGAAAATAAATGGTTTTTCGTTTTTATTTTCATTGAATTTAAAGTGAATTTCAACTTAAAAAAAATTACGTAAACTGAAATGGAATGAAATTTTAATCAATAAAATAATATATATATATGTATATGTGTATGCATGTATAAACATTTTCATTTTTATAATAAGCCCCATTTTTTTTTTTTCATTTTTTAATTTATATAAATTTTAAAGGATTTTTATATATATCTACATTATATTTTACTAAATATTAGTCATAGGTCTTTATTGCTTTCAAATGGTTTATTATTTTTAAAATAATTGTTTTTTTCTGTTCCGTTTTTTAGTTCTTTAATTATGGGTTTCTATTTTGCTTTCTTTTTATTCTCAAAAAAATTTCTTAATTATTAAATGTTTGTTGTTTCTTTTTTTGTTTTATTTTACATATTTAATTTTTATTTTGTATATTTTGCTTTATTATGATCTTGAATTAATTTTCTTGCGTTGGAATTTGTATTTCTTGAACTGATGTTGCACTACTTTGGCTAACACTACGGGAATGTCCTGCAGAATCTGTTATAACTGGTGTTTGAACCATTGGTGTTGGAGGAGATTTATTACCTGGTAATTGATTAGGAGCACCTGTCATTTGCATATGATACCTAAAATAATTAATGACAATAAATATGAAAAGTATCATAAGTATGTTAATTATTTTAAATACTTACTTGTAAATATTCTCCGTACTTTCTACTACACCTTGTGTCAAATTTAAACTACGCCCTTTAATTCCACCCTCTTTTGGTGGTGGTGACCACCAATTAACAACACGTCCAACTACTGGTACATGTCTTAAAATACCTTCTTGCCAAAGCTTTTCTTCACTTTCTCTTTGTAAATCTTGCATTGCAGTTTCTATACCCTAAAATTAAATATATTTATGTAAATTAATTAATATTAAATAAAATAACTATTATATGGAAATTTTTAATACCTTTTTAACAATTTCTGACATTGAATCCAAAACTTTGGAATTTTCTTGAACACTCTTTCCGACAGTAACAACTAAATCTAAAAGTTCTTCTACATCTGTTTCATGTGTAACCATTCCAAATCTAACACAACTTAAAGAATCAGGGCCTTCACCTAAAGAGAATGCATTATCTGTTGATTTTAAAGCATCGACTAAATCCATATTCAATTTATTTAATTCAGCTTTTGCCTGATCTGTTAACAACGTCTCCCATCCTTCTGGTACAAAGCGAACACCTCCCATACCAGCCCATTCTGGTAAATTTACAAGTCTTAATACGTCACTTTTTTCTACCAATTTAATAAAGGTAGCTTTATGTTTTAATGTTGCACGTAATATGTCAACTTGAGATTCTAAACATGCCGCAAAATTTTCCAAATGATCTGCTTTAGCAGGTTGTTCACCTAAGCTAAGTTCTAATGGACAATATCGTATACAAGTTCCATGTATTTGATGTTCTATTATTTCAAAATCAAACTAAAAAATCAAGATAAAAAATTTGTTAATAAGGAAGAGAATTTTTTCCAAATTTGTTTCTACTTACATTAGGGCAATCACGTTGTAATAGCTGGCCGAGCCAAGCGTTTAAGCGATCGAAATAAGAAGCATTTTCAACTTTCTCTATTGATTTATTTATTATTGCCTGATTTATATCTTGATTTTGATCTGTACTTGGTGGTGGTGTTGAATCTTGATCAAATTGAATGGACGAACCATCAAATTGAAATACTACTACTGGGGCCGCAGATTCAAATAAAGCCTAAAAAAAATTAAAAATTCCTTTACTGAATGGTCATATTATTATAAAATTTCTCATCAATCTCACATCTACATCTAGTGGTTTACTAATTAAATCAGACAATGAAGAACCGGTTTGAGCACCAGGAGCACGACTCTGCAAGATAAAATAAAATCGTATTTATTTGTGTTAAGGTAAATAACAAAGAAAAACTGTAAATCAGAATATGCAAAAAATGGTTAGAACAGACAAAAAATAATTTAATAATAATATTTAAAATATTTTGAAATTTATCGGGAATGTTCAATAAAACAAATAATTTTTCAAGTACGTAAATTTATTCATAAAATACAAAGCTCCAATAACACGCACACAGTGACATCGATATCAGAAAATTATTAGATAAATATTAGTAGATAAACAAAATCATTGAACACTTGATAAGTAAACTCAACATTCAAATATGATTAGAGTTTCAACATTCTAAAACGCTTGTCTAAAAGCATATTATAATATCGGTCAACTCTCTTATCTAGTATATTTTATAAATTCTTCAAGAAATCCAAATATGAACTTGCCTGAAAATCTAAGTCACACGTTACAAATTTTCAATTTTTTCATTATTGTTTATATTTTCGCATATTGACTCAATGTTTACTTATTCATCTAGATAAAACAACGATTGAAATACATTAAAAAAGTTTTCCTCCAACCAATATTTAAAAACACGTCATCTTAAATTTTAGATTAACTTGTCTTCCGCCACATTTTCAAAATATATGTTCAAAATAAACTAATAGTAAACTAATATCTTTAAAAAAATTGTTTAAACAACTGTGAACACACCTTTCATTGTGGCTTAATAGTTCAAATTAAACATTAGCTATCATGGTATGTTGTGGGAATTTTTTTCAAAACTTACCAATATACGTATACCCTCACATTTTGAGGTTATTTCGTAAAGAATGCTACAAGTTTGAAACGCTACATGAACTTTCTCAGATATATTTTCTCTTCCTAATGCTTGTAAACTCGCCCATAACGATAATGATTTTAGCCTCTTTGATAAAATTGCATCTGAATCGGATACTGTTAAAGCGGCATTTTGCAATTGCTTATGTAGTAATACTATCGGTACACTGGGAATGCCAAGCCAAGAACCCAAATTCAAAACAACAGAATCAACAACAGAACTTATCTAAAATGAAATATTTAAACAATGATATTATTGTTTATAATATTATATATTTACCGTCCCAGTACCCTGCACTATTGGTAAAGTGGCTAACAAATGTCCAGAAGCGTGTAACCAAATATTATTAGCTCTACAAATTTCTTTCAAACGTTTCAGATTATCAGCGAAACCACATAACGACGCACCTACATCTGCTACAACTAAAAGGGGATTACGATTTGCACTAATATCTGAACGTATTTCTTTTTGGAACAAGTTTAAATCCATAGTTCCGCTAGCTGTAGTTGGTATTACTCTTATAGCCTCGGCTGCTATTCCTAATTGTTTACAAGCATACTGTAGTCGTAGATGCGTTAAGTTTTCACAGATATAGAGACAAGGATTAGCTAATGCTGGAATTCCGCCTTCTAAAAAACCAGGACAACGAGAAACTATAGCTAAACGCAGCACACGTAAAATTGCTTCACCATTGTCAGAATGAAAACTAGCTGATGGTTCCGGAAACTTAAAAAGATTTCCAACCCATCTGTTAAAGGTAAACAAAATAAATTTAAAAATTTGTTTCAGTGATTTAATCTAATTTTCTCACCTAGATGTATCTCCTGCAATCAAATCTGCGATTCTCAAGAGTGTTTGCCGATCTAAATGACTAATATAAGCTTCAAAACTAAAATAATAAAACAATCAATTAAAATAATTATTACATCACATAATAATAACATCCGATTACCTCTGAGATACTAAGGCTAGCATTGACACTTCATCTAATTCAGGTAACTGATAAATTATATCAGATCCTTCCTCAGAATCAGAACCCGATATTAAGTCTTCCAAAGATTTTAAAATATCTGAAGATGAGCAACTTGTTACTGGCAATGAATTACATGATTGCGTTAGTTTATTTTCATTGTTCACATCTAAGGCACCGTTTATCTGAATGTTTTGTAATCTTTTAAGTGTTTGGGTTGTTTGCATTTCTAATTCAGCTAGGCCAGAACGAATCTTAAAAAAAAAATAAGTAAATTTTAATCAAATACGCACATAAATTATTGCAGCTTACACATGAAGCAGAAATTTTATCGTCACTTCTCTGAAAATTATCAGAATTTATATTTTGGTTTTCTGCCATTTTTATACACACAGGCGCTAAATGTCAAAATTAAAAACCTATATTAAACCTTAGTTATTATTGAAACACTTTTCTTAAAACTATGAATAAAATAAATATTAGAAAAAAATTTAACTTCTATTTAGTCGGTGCCTAAAGTAAAGTCGGTATAATTCTTTTGATGAAAAAAAAATTTTGTTGTGTTGTCAACATCAAATTTGACATTAGCCACTTCATCATTTTCCATCTGACACTAAATTCGCCTGAAATTTAGCCGGTCTAATACAATTGTACTTCACAACAATAACAATATTAACTACAAAATTCACAATATTCACGAGACTTAGAGTCATATGGTAAAACAATTAAAAATTTTCAAGATAGTACTTCTATTCATAAAAAGAAAATATTGTAATTTATTACAAACTAATTGCAATTGAGTAATTTCGAATAGTTTAGTTGCTTAAGTGTGCACGTAATTAGTTTATAATCAGACTACAATTGAAAAACTAAAAATTGCATGTCCGCCTCAGCCCAAAGGATATTTTGCTTTTTTATGCTTATAAAGTTCATATTCTAAATAGGTGTAATCTACAGTTGCATGACTAGAATTTCAATTATGACGAAGCAGTGAACTAATTTTTCAGAGACTTCATAAAATTTGCCTGTTGTAACAGTAAAAGTACAGGAAAAATTAGTATGGCAGCGCGAGAATTTGAACGAAGCTTTCTAATAATTATTTATTGTGAATTGAACATAAATGTCAAACCAGCTTTTCAGTTTTTATTTTATTATGAAAGAAAATTTATTAAAAAAATAATTTTCATTTTTAATTTATTTGTACTTAAATAGTTTGATGAAATGTAGGACGATATTAAATTCAGAAATGAGTTCAAATAACCGGAATTCTGGTAATTTGCATGGCTTATCAACAAAAGCAGCACTTGTTCGAATAAGGGAAGAAATAGTAAATGTTTTGACAATTTATGAAAACAAATTCAATTCTGAAAGGTAAGAAAATTTTTTAAAAAAAATTTTAAGTTTTTTTTGTGAAATAAACTTAATTATAATTTACAGTATACTTTGTAAAATACGATCGTGTTTTGTTAGTCAATATAATAGCCCACTTGGTTGGTTTTCAATTTTAAGTACATTATTTGCAATAGTTGGTTTACTTGTCGCGGACTATTATTTTTCTGCTTTGATTATTTTTGTTATCTTGACATTGAACATTTATATTGTTGTACGGGAAAATAATTTAAGACGTACAGAAATTATAAGAAAAGCGAAACTCATTTTAGAAGAAATAAAAGTAGCTGAGGAATTGTGTTATGATTGGAAGTTTTTTAACTACCCTCACTTATTTTGCCCAGTCTCTCCATGTGTTACTCTTCAATGGACGTATCGTGATGGTACAAATTGATTTTATTTTTAAATTTATAGGCAAAAATAAATAAAATATACTTACACTTTTAGGAGAAATCATAAATTTACCATCAGCTCTTCTAGTCAAAGGTGATCACATCGTTTTGAGGCCAGGGCATACAGCTCCAGGGTCGTGTTATGAAATCCTTACAAATAAAAAATTTAAAACGAATGAGATTTATGGAATAGCTCAAGTGCCGGAACCTCCTTCTAAACCTGCAGCTAGACCACCACTGCCTGATTTAATTTGCTGTTTAGAAAATACTCCATACCTAGATAATTTGAAATACATTTTGGAAAATGCACTGAAAAGACCGCCAACTATTTATAACCAACAAAGATATTTAGTAAGTATACACATCGATTTTTTCATTTATATATACAAGTACTCTTCTCATAGTTAATTTCTTTAGTTGGTAACAAAATACATCCAACAATGGGGTTTCATAGCAACTTTACTCATTACCATTTTTGCTTCTATAATGAGATATTATGGTTTAGCTTGGAAATCAGACATTAGCCATTATCTGTGGAAGGAAATATTTTTAGAATCATGTATTGCAGCAATTTTACCTTTATTGCCTTTGATTTTTCCTATAATGTGGATTTCTTTAAATTTATGGGGTGTTGCAAGGTTAGAAACTTTTTTATGTTTACCGCAACATCCATCATTAAAAGATGAAGAAAAGTCATTTGAAGAAGATTTGGACACTCCAACATATGACTACGGTCACATATCCCTTAAACGATCCATAGTTTTCAAAAATTGGTTGAATTTATGGCAAGGCTCATGCACGCTTCTCCCACGAAGTGCTAATGTTGTTCAGGTGTTAGGATCTATAACAGCTCTCTGTTGTGTAGATAAAAAAGGAATATTATCTTGGCCAAATCCTACAGCGGAAAAAGTCTTTTTCTTAAGAGATGTAGAAGACAAAAATTCTACAACTAGCCAAACAAGTTTGGAATCTGAAACTACAAATAACAATGCCACAAAGAAAACTGGAATTATTTCCGAAGTATTAGATTTGACACATGATCAACATTGCCCATTTAAATTAGAATTTGATGATCACGAATGGAAAAATCATATAACATCCCTTAAACCTTTAGGTAATATAAATGTTATATAAAATATTCCAATTTATTATTACTTAATTATATAGAGAATCAAATAAGTCTTTTTAGATTTGACGATTCAATATCTTTTCTAATATGTAATATCTTTTTAGGTTTGGCGATTCTTTTAAATACATGTAGCCCCCAGACACACAAACACTATGCACAATTTTGCGGGCATGTCACCGCTGTGGCAACTTTGGGTAAAATATTTGTTTCAACTTCATTAAGAAAGCTCAAAAATTCAACAAATTTTAGCATTTTAATTAAATACAAACTTTTGATTAAAACGATATTTTTATTATTATATATAAATCACAACTATAATTTGATTAAAATACATATTATATATTTTACTCTAATTTTAGATAAAGATTTGGTCCCAGTTACGAATCGGTATGCACAAGTTATTGAACCGAGCTTAAATAGTTTTTTGCATGGGTATGTTAGTATTTACGCAGCATTTTTTAATTGCTTATTCATTTATCATTTTCTTTTTAAATAAAAAATTTATATTTCAATTTTTCAATTTAAATTCCAATAAATTAGACACTTTATTCATAGTATTGCAGATATATTTTATAAGTGCAAGATGAGGTATATCATGTTAATTTTTTTTCGTCTGAAATATTTGATTTTTGAAGTTTTTCTATTATTATTTAATCCCGCTTTTGATTCGTTATGTTCGGTGTGGGTTTCAATGTTTAAATATTTATTTATACATCCATATACTTTTTTTTTTAAATACTGAATATAAAATGTTGTTAATTATTTTATATAAAGTTATATTTTAAATAATTTATGTTTTTGTGTGTTGAATCACATCACATGTCTTAATTAAAGAAAATATAATTAATGAGTTTTAGGTAATGGATCTGTTTTTGTTTGTTAAATTTTTTTTTATAATACTGTAACGTTTATTTCTCTTAAAACAAAAAAATTCCAGTTGATTTTGTCATAAATCCAAATACAATTATAGAAAACTAGTTAAACAAATTGAATTAAGGTTATTTCCAACTGCCCAATTTGAATTCGGATATATGTAAATAGATCTTTTTACTTCATATTTTTAAAAAAAAAAACTTAGGAATATAACATTTACATTGAATGTTGAAATAGGGTGAGTAAAAAAGATATAGTTGAGAGCTTTTATCACGTATAACCAGTTTGGAACAGGTTGAGTACAAATATTTTTAAAATATTCTTATTAAATATAATCAATATAATTGCTACAAAAATTCATAGAAAACTATTAAACATAAAAATTTCATAATTTTTGCAAAGATTGTAGATACATGCAAGCTATAATATAAAAATGCTATTAGTTTGATTAAAAATTTTAAAATAAATTTTTTTGCACGTATATATGCATAACAGATAAACATAATATAAATTAATTCAAACTGCAAGATTTAAAATATAAAAAAAGTACTTAATTAAATTTGACAATTTTTTACAATCTAATAATTTTATTTGATTTCAATGCATAAATTATTAAAACTGTTTTAGAAATTCATTAAATTTTTTTTGCTAATTTTACACTTAACATAGTAGTAATAAACAAAATCCAAAAGAAATCAATTTAAAATGAAAATAAAATAAGTATTAGAAAATATAAGTAGGATTGTATTTCCCATTTTGTTTTTAAAGAATACTTGGCACTAAATTTTAATAGTTTACTTGAAATTTAGGCATATTCATTATGTTCTTAAAGCAATAATATAAAAGGAATTCATTTAATTTATCAAACAGATATTAGTTTATTTCCATTTTTTATTTCTAAGAAAACTTTACAATTTTGGACAAATATTAAATTAGGATTCCCAATATTATTTCATTTGTTATTAATTTTATTTTCTATTTGTGTCCTCTTTTGTTTTTTGTTCAGAAGACATTTAATTTCGTGTTAATTTACATAACGTTCTCAGCATACTGAGCGTACTAGGTAGATCCTACTTGGGAAACTGGATTAATGTTTTGTTCTTTATCTTAAAAATGATTTGTAAAATAATAATTCAGTTTTCAATATATTCATCGTTGCTATAGTATTGATTATTAATAATTAAATTATTCTTCAACTCAATGGTTATTATATTTTGATTTTTGAAAATGTGTAAATGATTTTTAAATAAACAAAAATTGTCTTATTATCTTAGTTTAAACTTTAATCGTTAATTTAATAAAACGCAATGCTTAAATTCTGAAAAGTTTCTTTTATTAGAACTTTACATAATATAATGTTAACTTGTTTTAATAGAAAAAATAAAAACGTAAATTTATAGATACGGATAATATTCAAAGTTATTAAATGTAATTTAAGTTTTTTTTCTGTGTTCGCTGTTTTAAATGATTATTTTTTATATCGACTTTGATTGTGTTTAGAATTTTAATAATTAAAATATTTATTATTTTATTGAATACCTATATATTTTTAATTAATGTGCATATTATTTTGTTAAAAATTATAATTTCTCAAGTCAGATTTTTAGTTTTTATACAGGAAAGAATAATTCCCTACAAATATATTATAGATTATTTGAAAAATATAAATGGGCAAATTCAAGAATGATTTCAAAATGAAATTTTCTCAAATTTTTAATATGTAGTTTTTAATTCCGGATTCTTGTTTTTTGTCGAAAATTTATCCTATTATTTTTAACAATTTAATTTAAGTTCAGTTGGAATAGTGCTTATAGAGATTTTATCACCAATTAAAATTCTGTTTTTATTAAAAAAAAATTTAATAATTATTGGGTCAACATATTTTGTTGATATTTAAAAATCATAAATTCAATTTTTTTGAACTTAATAAAAATAACTAATAATAATAATACTATTTTACATGTAATTTTTAAAATATTTTATTATGTACTTGAAATGTTTTCTTACAATTATACTAAGAATAATGGTAAAATTTTATTTTCAAAAACATATTCTTTGTAAGTTATTAACACATTCATTTTAAAAGTGAAATATAGGAACACCACATGCAAGACGGTGGATTTAAAAGTTGTTTTGACAATTTTTATAACCATTTGGTCTAAATAGTAAGACATAAATTAAAGCTTAATCATTTTTGAAAGTGCTCGTTATCTTGACTCATTATGTAAATAGATCATAGATTTTAAATCATGCTTTAAACCTTTTTTTAATTTTTTTGTTTCTTTTTTGCTTCTCAAAATTTTTTTATATTAAAAATAAAGTAAACTTCAAAGAATTAATATAAAAAAAATTTTGAGTTTAAAAAAATTAAACGACAATATTATTTATCAAAATTTAATACTTGTATCATTATTTATCGACTTCAGACGATGTTTATGTGAATTAGCCAAACAAATCGGTTTTAAACAGCATGCCACAGATAATTTTACTTTGGAAGGACAGTTAGCTACCTATAGGCATTTGGTATGTTATTTACTACAAATTTTTTAAGTTAAATAATGTAATTTATTTTTTTTTTTTTCAAATAAAAAGCAACCTGATGTTGTACGTCGTGACATTAAATTTGCACGTCATCTTCAATTATCATCAAAAGTTAAAGTACCCTTTCCACATTCTTTATCTGTAGTATTACGTGAATCACCCGGAAATTGTTTATCATTGTTCACACAAGGAACAGCTGATATTGTATTAGATTGTTGTGATGATTTCTGGGATGGAAAAGATTTACGTCCATTAGGACCACAGGAGAGAAAAAGAGCTCAAGATTTTTATCAAAGAAGCGCATTAACTGCATATTGTACTGCATTTGCATATCGTCCATTACGCCATGGGATATGTGGGGCTTTGAGTGGATCGCATAGTGGTCCAATTGCATATCTGGAATTACCACCAGAAACGAAATGTAAAATGCAACATGTTGACAAAAGTCATTGCGATTTTGAAGGCCACACTAAAATTAGCCATTCAATAAGTACGGATTCGTTATTGTTTTCAGAATCGAAAGATGAAGATATCGCTGATGTCGAAGGTTGCTTTGAAATGCAATGTCATCAAGTTTTTATAGGAATGATAACAATGCAATATCAAGCACAAACTGATATCGTTCAGTTAGTTGAACGCTTAGAAAGAGCTTGTATACGTTTCGTGCATTTTAGTAAAGAAAATGAATTACGATCCAGAGTATTTTCGGAAAAAATGGGCCTTGAATCCGGCTGGAATTGCCATATATCTTTATTGAGCGAGGATCAGCACTCCAATCCACAATCACCAAAAACTTCAGGTCAAATAGATTTTTCTGGAACTAATTTAGGTAGTACAGAAAATGATAAAATTGATCCTGAAATAAACTGTTTGCTACAACCGATGGGCTTAGAATCTTCTAAAACTTTAAGCTCATCAGCTCCTGGAGACTTTTTAAATATTAATTCAGGCTCAGTAGAATCAATAATTTCTGTAGGAGAACCACGGCATTCTCAAGACTCAGCATTGGATGAAAATTGTCGATCAATTAGTATTTTAACAGATAGTACAGAACAGAGTGCACCAATTAATTTTGATATGTCAAATCGAGCCAAATTACCTCGTGGTATTGAAAATATCAGGCCACATTTAGAAAAAGTTGATAATGTTCCTTTGCAAGTTTCGTTGTTTACGGATTGCTCAGCAGAAGCTACAAAAGAAATGTTAAGTATAATGCAATCTTATGGTGAAATTGTAGTTTGCTTGGGTTCGAGTGCGAGTAATTCAAATTCTGAAATATTTTTACAAGCAGATTGTAGCATTGCTGTAGAGCCTTTATATCCTCAAGTTTGTCAAGGTAAGATTTTATAAAGTTTCTCTAATGACTTTTAATAATTTTATTGTACTTTTTCTCTGTTTAGATGTACCTGCATATACGGAGTCAAACATATATAATAATAAATTAAAACACATTAATAAAACATCAAATAAAAAAGACTTTACGTTGCATTTTTTAGAAAGTTATGGAACGACAGATTCTAATAATGATGCTGCCAATAATATCAATTCACCATATGCTAAATTAATGCACACTCGCAATAATACTATATCACCAATATATTTAAGTCGTATGTTAAATTCATTACCTTGTTCAATATCAGTCGTGCGTGATGATCCATTATCAGTTGTTGCAATAATAGAATTATCAAGAAGATTTTCATTAGGTTTATGGAACTGTATACAATATTGGGCATGTTGTGCCGGTACACTCGCTTCATTAAATATTTTAAGTGCCTGTTTAAATTTACCACCGATTTTTGATCCATTTGTTTTAATATATTTAATGTGTTTTGCTGTACCATTCATTTCATTATCTCTTACCCATATTCAAGTAGATCCAAAAGTCATGAATAGAGCAACAGGTAAAAAACAAACTAAATTTGATTCAAGGGTATTTGGTTTTGTATTATGGTGTTATGGATGTAAATTTTTCCCAGCAGTATTGGTTGTGGTAATAGAAATAATAAAAACTAATGCCAATTTTGTTTAATTAAATTTCATTTTATATTTTTTTTAGATAATTTCCTACACAACTATGATTGGCCATCCACTTGAAATTATAGATATTCAAGAGGAAAATTTGGAAATTAATCTGAAACTAGCAAGAATATTCGCTTTATTAGGGATAATTTCTCATTTTGGTAATTTTTCTATAATTTATTAACAAAATTTTATCGAGTGGTCTTGTTTCATTCTATCATTGTGTTTATTTTTCTTTTATACTTTAGTTGAATTAAAGACTGTTTTATTATGATCGCCAATTTACTTAATAAATAAAAATTTCCGGGTATGTCTTACAAGGGAATATTATGTTTTTGTTATTTCCAATCCTAAAAAATTTCACTGAATACTTCTTGTTTGTTTGCACAGTAATCCGGACAATCCCATGCCAAATTTTTTTAATTTTTACTAAATTTTCTTTGAGTAAAAACTAAATAATTTAATTAAATTTTTTTTAATATAATATAACTTAAAGAATAATATTGTTGAATTTACGATCTTATAATCTTAACTTAAATTTTCTATGAATTAGGCTATATAAATAGGTAGGGACTATCTAACATATACATTTTTTTTGCTTTGATTTTTAATTTAATTTATTTTTTATTTTGTTTATTATTCAGTAATAATATCAGCATCATTCGTTCATCGAGATCATTCTATATGGCACAAAAATCCATTTACAAATAAAATTTGGACATTTAATTGTATCCTAATTCTTATAATTCATTCAAGCGCTTGTATTATACAAATAATATCAATTAATAAAGCAATCTATGATCAGATTTACAAATTTTGGGCTGTAATAGTATTTATGTTTACAGCAGTAGCAATTAGTTTTTTAGTTACTGAATTTATAAAATGGCAGGAAATTAAGTAAGTTAATAATTTAATAGTTAGAACAAATACAAATAATTATATTTATTTTTAGAGTTAATTTAAGATATCAGAGACGCGCACGACTAGATTTTGGTACAAAATTGGGAATGAATTCACCATTTTAATAAAATATTCTAGAAATTAAAAAAGAAATGTTGTTATCTATATGCGTAATACAAATTAAATATCATGAATGTCAAAAGAAAAAAAAACTATTCATAGAAATAAGTTTTAGATATTAAGTATTACTTAATTTTTAATAAAATGATTTTACTTGAATATTAGACTGCAAAAAAAATTTTCTTTTTGTTTTAAATGATTTTAAACATTTTTGCATACTTCAAGGAATATAATATGTGTAACATTAATTATAAATAAATAAGTCTGTTTAACAAATAGTAATAAGTTAGTTAGAATATGTGAAGAATATTTTAAAATGAAAATAATTGTAAATATAAAAGAGAAGACATCAATTTATCACTATGTTTCTAAAGTAAAAAATTAATATTTAATTAATATGTGAAAAGAGAATAATAAAATCATTTAATCTGACTTCTTATATAATCTTTGCAATAAATAAGTAAATTATTTTAATTCAATTGTTTAATTTTATTACAGCCACGAGTTATATAATTACTGTCCGAATTGAGCTGATGACTGCATTTAATTTATTTAAAATAGGGAAAAAGCAAAATTTCAAATTTACACGCAATATATACATATAATACGGATTAATAAATAAGCAACAATTTATGAAATTTATTACCTGAAAAAGTTCGCAGCTTTGATTTTCTATTGATATGAAAACTTTCTTTGCCATTAGCAGAGTTTAAAAAATAACAAACCAAAATCAATGTTGATATATCAACATTTTGGTTTGTTATTTTACTTTTAAACGGTTTAATACGGTAAACTTTTTAACGGTTTTAATTATACCATCTATAATTTATTGAAAAAGTAAGAATAATTAAAGAGGAATGTTCTTTCTCTCATCTAATTGTCAATGGGGAAATTTTGTAGGAAATGTCCTGTAATCAAAATAATAATTAATCTTCCAACTCTATCAATTCCGTAAAGCTAGAAACATAAATATTTATACATATATATATTACAAACTGAACAGTATTACACACAAAATAAATAGCAGATGAATATATTTTTTGCTAAAAACCATTTATTGAAAATGTAGAGCACGACATTCATTTTATTCTCTCATATATCAGTCAGTTCGAAAAGTGATATTTTAGATGAATGTATCATTAATAAAAATTATTAAAAATTTTGCTATAAAAAATAGAATATAATTAAAATGTTTTTCTTAAATAAAATAACCTGAAAAAAAAACTTCTTATTAAATGTAATAACACATTTATTCCTAAATTATTCTTAGTCTATCAGATATCATCCTGAAATTTAATTTTTTCGATCTAAAGGATACAATTGAAATTCTTTACATCATGTTAAGAAAACAAACAGTTTTGTACTTTTATATAAAAACACTGTTCTCATTTCCTGCAGGACTGTGCTTAGAAATTAATAAATCCTATTTATCTCTAGATGTCATAGCCTGCATGTTTCTTCAGTCATGGTTAAAAGTTATTTTATTATTTTATTACAATGTACAAAATATTTCATAATATTATTATTATTATTTTATGTCAGAATACAAAAGGAAAACAAAATTCTTTGTTTTCATTCATTCATTTTTTTATTTTTATTATCCTTGTTAAATTCATACATACACATCCATATGCAATTTAAGTACATACATATGTACATATATGAGCAAGTAACATATACAAATAAATAATTTTTTATACAAAGAAGTCTGAGCGTGTGCATGTGTTTTTAAAAAAATAACATTTTTTCTCCTTTATTTTTTGCTTTATTTTCTTTTTATATTTTCGAATTTCTATCATATTTTCGAATAGAGTACATACTATAATTGTATAGAGGGTGTGACCGGGTTAAGCAAAAGATTTTCTTATCTCGTTCTCGACAGTACAAAACAACGGTTTATGTACTTATTTGCGGTTGAATTTTTTTGTTTTTTTTTTGGAAATAAAATAATATAAGTGAAAAAAATTATTAATTAAAATCAAATAAATTTATTTTAAATTATTTTTATAATAAAATAATTTTAATTTTGTATTGTTTTTTTTTTCTTAAAATAAATATTTAATCATTGGAAAATATATTAAACTTATCCGAATTCAAAGTGAAAAAAAAAAAAGTAAAACAAAATTTTGCTCATTTGAAGTGAAGAAAAATCATTTAAATTTAAGAAGAGTGCGAACATTTTTACAAAGTTAATATAATTTGTATACATAAATATACATACATGTAGTATAATATACTATGTATCTGTATACATATATATATAATTATAACAATATGTATATATTATGTATATAGTGTTGTAAGGGTGAATTTTTCAATAGAGAAAAAAAATATTTAAATTTTTCTTCTAATATTAATTAAGAAAAGAATGGTGTTATTTTTAAATATTAATAAAAAAAAAGAGTTAAAAAATTTAAAATAAATAAAACAAATAAAAATGATTAATTAAAAATAAGATTTTCATTCAAAAATTAATAAGAAATTTTTTTTTTTATAAATGTATATATGAATGTACATGTATCAAGAATATATAAGCACCAATAAAAAAAAACATAAATAAAATTAACAATAAATTAAAATATTAAAAATTTAAAAATATAATTAATTAATGGATAATTTAAAAAGAATTTTTTTTAATAAAATTTTAAAGAAATAAAATTCAATTCGACTGAAAAATTAATAGAAAAAAAAACAAAAAGTAAAAATTTTTGTATTTTTTTGTTTTTTTCTTCATTTTAACAGCTCTAACATATATATACCTAGTATACATATTGTTAATATTTGTAAATATATATTATAATATTATGTTCATACATAAATGTATGTATGTTGGATAGGTATGGTGAAAATTAAGTAAAACAAAAATTTTACAAACATATTATATGTGTATACATGCAAATACATACAAATATATATAATTATTATACATACGTATATATATCTCCTGGGAAATTCAGCGAGTCCTTTTTTTTTGTGTGTTGATTTTCATATCTCATTTTCTTGTTCTGCTTGTTTGAAAAAAAAAAACATAATATTATCTCTAAATGTGTAAATAGAAAAATGTATAAAAATATTATTCAGTGTAATTAAACATACATGTGCAAACACTCATATACATATATTGAAAAATGTATATGAAAATATGAAAACAATAATAAATATTTAATAATATAAAAGAAACAACAAAAAAATCATATAATAATGCATACATATTATGTATATTAAAATTCGTAAAACTAAAAAGGAGAATATATTTTTCTAAATAAAGTAGGTATACAAAATATACAATACATTTACAATATTTTATTTACACAATCATTTATATATACATATGTATATATGTTCCATATATTTAATAAATATATTTGGGTACACATATGTTTGGGTTATATTAATTTATACACATACAAATGAAATTGAAAATGAAATTTGAGAAAAGGAATAAATATTTTTTTTGTTTCTCTCTTTCAATCATTATTTTTATTATAATTTGCTTTATACAGTTACAGTAAAATCTCAATATAATTGACAATATTATTATCATAATTATTGAAAATAAATATTATTTTTTTTAAACAACTACTGTGCTTTCATATAGGAAACGACGGGAATTTTTTATTTCTCTACATAAATCGCTTATAAGCTAATTTGTGTGTTGAAACAATGTTACTATAAAATTTTCATATTTGAAAATAAATAAAGTTATTTGAATCTTAAAATCAGTGGTTTTTTTAAATCCAGTCGAATTCATGAGTAAATTTAACTCTCTTCGATTGACAAATCGTTTCCTCTTAAATTAACAACCAAAACATGTTAAGAACACTTACAAAGAGATCTACGTTAAATAGACACGTTCATAATCTTTACAAATTCAGTTCAAATTTAATATCATTCTGCTTTAAATTATTAAAAATGTTAATTTTTAAAAATTCTTAAAACATTGAAATGGAATGCGAAATATTCAGAAGTTTTTATGGATTTTCCCTGTGGAACAATTATAACCTTTTTATTTCTGTAAAATTTTAATAATGAAAGTTGCCAAAATTTTTGATAATTTTTTTACCTTTTTTGAATTCAATTTATGGAATTTTATTATTCTGTTTATTAAATTTACACTATCAAATAACATAACTATGTTTTAATGCAATTGTTGGTATAAAAATTTGTTTATTTAATAAAATCGTACCACGCATTAAACGATGAAGCTCAATGAACTTATTTACCCTTCCAATGCTGCTACTTTGGTTCAACTCTCTTATTTCTGAGAGTAGAAATAAATTACATATACGATTTTACCAGTTTATTTCATGTGTTGTTTTCTATCATTCTAAATATAAACTTGCATATACAAGTATGTAATTATAGGTTAAAATTAGAGAAAATTGTAAACTATTATAGTAATTTTTAATAAATTTTCAATACAAAAGAATGGAGTTTTTGTTGAAAATTTAAATTATTTGTAAAAGCAGACCTATAAAATACAATAGAAAATTAACTTTATTTCATTTTATTTGGATTTGTAATAAAAAATAAATTTAAAAATTTAATAAAAATATCATTTCAAAAATTTTGATACAAGAAACCGAACTCATGAAACCGCAAAATTTAACAAAAAATTTTCATTATTTACTGTATTCAGTATTTATTCGCTGTAATCTAAGTGTCTGAGTGCTTACTCTTATATGACCATTTAAAAAACTACCCTATTCTATGTTATTTTTTTTTTATTTTGATCAATTCTTATTTTAGATCAATTGAAAACTATGAAAGTATATACGAGTAAATCTATACCCACAATCGCACTGATATCAAAATAATGCTATAATTTATGCTATATTATACATATACACATTTCTTCTAAATTCTTTAAATCTATACGCACACACATACATATAAATAATATTATCTACATAGTTTCATTTTTAAATTATTTGTTATTTTTATAACAAAAAAAAACAAAATCAAAATAAAAAATTAAGGATACTTTTTTTCACCGTAAATGATAAAAAATAATTCGAATTTTCATTTATTATTGATTGTGATTTTCTTATTTGTATTTGTATGCATGTATATGGCATATACGTATAATGTTCCAATACAAACATAATATGTGCAAGTTCTTATATATGAATAGACAAATAAGAAAAAAATAAAATACTTTTACTATAATTTTATTTTCGATTTTGCGAAAATTTATTACTCAAAATTACATTTTACATTTATACAAATTCAGACATATCATATATACATGTATAAATATATATGCTTATGATGTTCATATATAGAATATTAATAATTACCCTTTTTCGAAAATAAATATTCGCAAACTATAAAATATTACTCTTTTGATGCATACACCAAGAGAAAAGAGAGAAACTATTTAATAAATGAAATGTCATATGTATGATTAAAAACCTGTTCATAGGATAACAACAAAAAAAAAGTGCATTCTAAAGAGAGACAATTGAAAAATAAAATATAAGAATAAAAAATAAAATAAAAATTTTCCAACTTTTATAATAAAAATAACAAAAAGAAAAATAGAGTTGTGCATATTTTTCCCAGAAAATTCATCATACTTTGAAAATTAATAATTTCATTCCAATTCGAAATATTTTTTTATTTTTTACTATTCTTATAAGAAAATGTTAGTAACCCAACCTGTCTGCAAAATATTTTCATTTCAAAATTCAATGATATCAAAAAAAAAGGAACAAAAAGAAAACCCTTTTTTTTTTTTGTTAACAAATACATACAACCAATGAATATACCTGTTAATATGTAATACAAGTAAATAAAATATGCTTGTATCCATTCCATAATAATAAATATATATGTATGTAAGGTGAATGTCTGTATATCGTGCAAAATAATTGCAATTTCTCTTCTTTTTTTTTACAAAAATTTCTCTATTGTTTTATCTATTTTCCTTTGTAAAAATTTTTTCTTCCCTAAAATCTTCAAAGTTAATTTATTCAATTTTTAAATTAAAAGCATTCATTATTGTAGTTTTCTTTTATTTTTTCTATAAAATAATTAATAGCTATTGTAATGTAATATAAACTATGTATTGAAATTGTGTAAATAATTACATACTCGTACATCTTTTTTTTTCTCTTCTATACAGTAAATCTAATTAAAATTCTATTCTACATCTTTTATATGAGTATGTATAACAATATTATTTGTACATGGATAAATATATATAATAATTTGTCTGTTCGTTTTACATAATTACATAGGTACATAATGTTTTATACATATATATATATATATATATATATATATATATATTATGTAGGTGGTTATTTACATTGTATTTATTTAAATTATATATTATACAACAACAGTTGAGAATCATAAACGACATCTTCCTGTAATAGTTTATACCAAAAAATATACTCTGAAAGGTTAAAAAAAATTACAGGAAAAAGAGAAAACCAGGTTCAAGAATCATATGTACGATCCAATTTTTTTTTCTTTTAAGTAAAATAAATGTATATATAGAGAAAATATTTATATATACATTCATATAACACAATATTATAATTTTGTATACATATATCATATACGCAGTATATATTTATTATACGGAGCATTTTATGTATAGCAAGCATTCTATATTTAAATTTCCTTAAAGGCAGATGCAGAAACTTAAATATTATGTATACTACATATAAGTATATTTGCATTGAAATGTATGTATAACATTTTGAAGACAGGAACCAGACGGAAAAGATAATTTTAGTTTGCTGTTTTTTTTTTTATTATTATTTACATTTTCTTACTATTATACTTATAATGTCAATATTAATTTTTTTAAAATTTAAAAGTAAGCGTGCCTTATATATGTATGTATATACATATACAAAATGCATTTTATAAAAATAAATATAATATATTGTTATATAAGGACATACAAACAATTTTATTATAAAATATGTATATATATATATATGGTTTAAAAGATATAAACAAAAGTTATTGCAATCGATCCCTTTTTATAACAGTATAACTATGTACATATAAACATATTTATATGTACCTATATATACTTTATTTATAATTTAGCGCACATCTATTTTTTATGCGATTTTTATTAGATCATTATTATTTAGGTATATAATATGTAAAAATATATTATTTCTGGCATATAACAGCTATACATATGTAACTAACTAACTATACATGTACCGCATGTGGAAAGTTGAAAGTTACATTCAATATTATATAACTTATAATTATACATATACACATTATATAATGCTAATTAAATATTGTCTAGGAATTAAAAAAAATTACATAAGCGTGCAATAATGTTCGTATCTGTATATGGTATTTCTAGTATACTTATATAATTGTATGCATATCTGCTAAGGGTATATATTTAACAATTTTCTTCAAATATCTAATTAGTTTACATATATTCAAATATTAATTGGTTTAATTATATTTGTATATTTTATATACATTATTATGTTAAAAGTTTAATTTAATTTTATTGAATTTTATTCTATATTTTCTTTCATGATATTCAAAAACTTAATGTTTTAAAAGGTTTTTCATTTTATTTTCTATATATATGTAATAATGTAAATTGAAGTTCTTAAGTCTCTTTGTTAATATTACATTAGTTTAGTCATTAAAAAAACTAAGAGTTTTAGTTTCAATTTTAATATGGAAATTGTATTCAAATTGTGTATATAACGTACATATTTATATATATCAAAATTTATTGTTATTATAGTGTTAATAAGTGTGGAATAGTTTATAAGTGGAATTTTAGTGGGCATCAAAATCTGTAATATGTTAGTATGGGTGAATTAAAGGAAATCAGAAAATAGTTAAATAATAAATGTGTCACAGTGCGGAAATAATAAATGTTATACAAAAAAACTACATTGATTTGTTATTAATATAAAATAAAGTAATAATATTTAACATCATAATATTTAAATATTTGAGAATCTGATATGACATTCTCGCAAGCCTTAATAACCGCAATATTATATTATATATACATTGCATCGACTTGTTTTAAATTTTTCTTTAACTATTTAACCCTCATTTTCATTGTTTTTTATCTTTGAGATGAAACATTTTAGGTAAAAATGTAATCTTACACTATAACTTTCTATCAGATAATGAGAAAGTCTATCATTTTCAATAATCTGGTAAGAACTCTTCTCTATGTAATAATTGGTTAATATTCCATGAAATTTTAACGATTTATGTATAATTATCGCTGAAACTTTTTAAAAAAAAGT